ACAGTTGATGTACAATGTAATACTTTTTCCATTTTGTATTTTTTTTGTTCTAGTACCATTGGTTGAACTCTGTAATTAACACACAATTATTCTTAGGTGTTTAAATTTTAACTGAAAGGTGATCCTTGTTAGGAATTTGGAAAACATTATGTTGAGTGAAATAAGCCAATCTCAAACGGACAAATACCACTTGTTCTCCTTGATAGCTGACAACTAACTGAGCACCAAAAAGGAAACCTGTTAAAGTGAAATGAACACTATGAGAAACAGTGACTTGATCAGCCCTCACCCTGACTGTTGATGAGCAACTTGATATGTTATCCCTCTTAGTATTTTTTTTTGTTTGTTCTACTTAATACTTTTGGTTGAATTCTGTAATCAATACACAATTCTTCTTAAGTGCTGAAACTTAACTGCAAAGTGATCCCTGTTAAATATAAGAGTAGGAATAAGAGAGGGAAGAGATGTGCAATTTGGGACATGCTCAAGCAGACTTAACTCAAACGGTAGAGTTAGAAACATACCAGGGGATTCCAATTCAATCCCATCAAGGTGGCATGTACCAATGCCATCTCACTAGTCCCAGTGATCAATTTCTGTTCACAATTGATCATAAGGATAGGACTAAGAACCAAAGGGATCACATAAACAAGAATAGTGTCTGCAAATACTAGCTGATAGAATCAAAAAGGGAGAGAATGATCCAACATGGGAAGTGAGATACTCAGCAGACTCATAGAATGGCAAATGTCCTAAACAGCACTCTGGCCTCAGAATCAGTCCTTAAGGCATGCGGATCCAGCTGAAATGCCCATGAGAGTATTTCAGGCATGGAAAGCCAAGACACTCTGGGGGAAAAAAAAACCTAAATGAAAGATCTCCATGAGTGAGATCCCAGTGGAAAGAATGGGTCATCAAGGAAGGAGGTACCTTTCTCTGAAGGGAGGAGAGAACTTCCACTTTGACCATGGCCTTGTCTAAAAATGAATAGAGTCAGTGAACTCAGGGAGCTTCCATAGCCTTGGCAGCTCATGACAAGAGCCTAGGGTGATTACTGAGGCCATAAACAAGAGTGTCAGTTTGTTAAGTCAACAACAGGAGTCACTGTGCACTTACTCCTCATGTAGGATCTTTGTCCTTAGTGTGCTGTACATTGAGATTTAATGCTATAACTAGTACTCAAACAGTATTTTTCACTTTATGTTTCTGTGTGGGAGCAAACTGTTGAAATCTTTACTTAATGTATGCTAAACTGATCTTCTGTATATAAAGAGAATCGAAAATGAATCTTGATATGAATGGAAGGGGAGAGGGAGTGGATAAGGGGAGGGTTGCGGGTTGGAGGGACATTATGGGGGGGAAGCCATTGTAATCAATATTCTGTACTTTGGAAATTTATATTCATTAAATAAAAGTTAAAAAAAAAATCTCAGCAAGGCATGTGAAGGACAGCTGCAGTCCTAAGGTGGTTTTAGGTTTTTTGGGAACTACACTCTGCTTAAGAAAGTCGGAGCTTCCTGGTGGTCCTGCTAATGATTGCGGTATTCCTAATTTTAGGGAAGAACGCTTAGTCTCATTATCCCCAAAATGTCCTTTGCTTTGTAGAATTTTAATTAAGCAGAATGTTAGTGTAGGCGAAAGGGTTAATGCTTTATGCAAGGTTGAGCTGTTTATGGGAAAGAATTAAAAGACAACAGGCTCCTTGGTAAATACTTCCCACTAGAATAAAGATAAATGTTATTAAAGCTTAAATTCAACATATGCTACAAATACTGCAATGGTTAGGATGTCAAAACTATAGAGCAGATCTAAGTGAACCTTTAAATAAGTCCAATAAAGAAATTAGAGTTAAAGAAAGAACTGCAAAGAGGGGATACATTTTTTAAAAAAAGGGCCTGCTTTGAACTTGGATTAGGAAGGTACTATTCTAGCTTGTGTAGCCAATTTCTGCATAGCTCGACAGCACTCCAGGCCTTGCCTTGTGTGGGCAGCCTGTTATCTCGCACCTGTCTTTGATTGTAACCCATGCTCTGAATAAGCCCTTGAAAATCAAAGAAATTGTACTTAGAAAAAAAATGGACAACATACTTGTTATTATGAGAATAAAAAGAATCATTATTTGACTTATGATATAAAAATAAAGGCTGGTGCTGAAGAGCCAGAGCCATGCCATCAGCCTTGGGAAAATTTTTTTTGTCTGTTCTACTTAATATGACTGGTTTAATTCTGTAATTATCACACAGTTATTCTTAAGTGTTGAAAATTAACTGAAATGTGATCCCTGTTAAACATAAGAGTGGGAATAAGAGAGGGAAGAGATGTATAATTTGGGGCATGCTCGGGCTGACTTGCCCCAATTGGTAGAGTTGGAAACATACCAGGGGATTCCATTTCAATCCCATCAAGGTGGCATGTGCCAATGCCATCTCACTATTCCAAGTGATCAATTTCAGTTCACAATTGATCATAATGAAAGGACTAAGAGTCAAAGGGAGCACATAAACAAGTCTAGTATCTACTAACACTAACCGATAGAATAAATAAAGGGGAGAGTGATCCAACATGGGAAGTGAGATACTCAGCAGACTCATAGAATGGTGGATGTCCTAAATAGCACTCTGGCCTCAGAATCAGCCCTAAAGGCACTCGGATCTGGCTGAAAAGCCCATGAGAGTATTTCAGGCATGGAAAGCCAAGACACTCTGGCAAAAAGATCTCAGTGAGTGAGATCCCAGTGGAAAGAACAGGTCTTCAAAGAGGGAGGTGCCTTTCTCTGAAGAGAGGAGAGAACCTCCACTTTGACTATGACCGTGTCTAAACAAGATAAGAGTAGGAGAACTCAGAGGGCTTCCATAGCCTTGGAAACTCATGACTGGTGCATAGGGAGATTACTGATGCCATAGACAGGAGTGTCAATTGGTAAAGTCAACAACAGGAGTCACTGTGCACTTACTCCTCATGTAGGATCTCTGTCCTTAATGTGCTGTACACTGAGGCTTAATGCTATAACGAGTACTCAAACAGTATATTTCACTTCGTGTTTCTATGGGGGTGCAAATGATTGAAATCTTTACTTAATGTACACTAAACTGATCTTCTGTTAAAAAAAAAAAAAAGAAAGAAATTATCAATTCCCAACTTGACTCTCACTGGGATTAAACATGACAATAGGTCTGCTCTGATTTCATCATCATTTAAAAAAAAATCATTTATTATTTTTCACTTTATGTTTCTGTGTGGGAACAAACTGTTGAAATCCTTACTTAAGGTATACTCAGCTGATCGTCTGTATATTAAGATAATCGAAAATGAATCTTGATGTGAATGGAAGGGGAGAGGGAGTGGGAAAGGGGAGGGTTGTGGGTGGGAGGGACGGTATGGGGGGGGAAGCCATTGTAACCCATGAGTCGTACTTTGGAAATTTATATTCATTAAATAAAAGATAAAAAAAAAGAGTCAAGGGGCTGTGAAGTTAAGAAGAGGGGAAAAAAAGGCAATAATCGGGGTATCTCCCTATGGATTCACAAGCTATGTGAACTATTTCCAGAGCTCCTGTGTTTGCTAGTAGGAACTTCTCAGTAACAGAGGCACACCATATTGCTCTTTTGAACTTTCATAACACAGCAAAGGCTTACCTGTTTGAAGGATTAAAATAAAATGCACTCTATTTGTTTCTTTTTTTCTTAAAGATTTATTTATTTATTTTAAAGTCAGAGTTAACACACAGAGAAAAGGAGAGGTAGAGAGAGAGAGAGGTCTTCCATCCACTGGCTCACTCCCCAACCGGCCGCAACTGCAGTAGCTGCAGGAGCCTCCTCCAGGTCTCCCATATGGGTGCAGGGACCCAGAGACCTGTGCCAACCTCCCCTGCCTTCCCAGGCCATATCAGAGAACTGTATTGAAAGTGGAGCAGCCGGGACTAGAACTGGAATCCATATAGGATGCAGGCACTGCAGGCAGTGGCCTCATCTGCTATGCCACAGTCCTGACCCCAAATATTTCAGTCTCTTTTTTTAATTTTTTTTTTTATTTTTTGACAGGCAGAGTGGACAGTGAGAGAGAGAAACAGAGAGAAAGGTCTTCTTTTGCCGTTGGTTCACCCTCCAATGGCCGCCGTGGCCAGTGTGCTGCGGCTGGCACACCACGCTGATCTGATGGCAGGAGCCAGGTAGGTGCTTCCCCTGGTCTCCCGTGGGGTGCAGGGCCCAAGCACTTGGGCCATCCTCCACTGCACTCCCCAGCCACAGCAGAGAGCTGGCCTGGAAGAGGGGCAACCGGGACAGAATCCGGCGCCCCAACTGGGACTAGAACCCGGTGTGCTGGCGCTGCAAGGCGGAGGATTAGCCTAGTGAGCCGCGGCGCCGGCCTATATTTCTGTTTCTAAAACAGCATTAACCCCATGTGAGCAAAAGGGAAAAAAAGCTTTCACAAAAAATGTCTGGAAATTTTACTGTAATGTTTTATTGTGGTATCTAAATGTGTTTAGATGATGCTCTGCAATATTTAAGAATCTTAAAGCCACTAACCTTAATATTGAAATGGTCAATAGCTGTTCCTTTATTTAGTTTTCATTATCACATTTGGATCAAGTATAACATGAATAATGACTGATAAATAAATATAACTCAAACAGTGTATAGTGAATCTGTTTTGAATAATTTAATGTTTAATGACAATCATTGTTTTGGTACACGATAACTATACATAACAGGTAGACAGCTTACATAAGGAATCCATAATTAGACTTCTTCCATACAAACCAAATAATGGGTCTCATTCTTTGCTCTGACACTTTTCCTGTATCATACTGACAATTTTCCTAATATCACAAACTGTTTTATCTTTGTCTTTTTCATGCACGCTTCACTGACACATAAAAAATTAAATGTCTGTATCTTTAGGATAACAACTGCCTGAGTTCCTTGGTTCCCAAATCTTGAAAATTCACCAGTGAAATCTCCTGAGAGTTCCTGGGCTTCTCTTCCTTTCTGTTACCTGGCTGGAAGAATTCATGTTAGAGACAGGAGCAGCATTTTAGCTGTGAATGGACTTAGGGAACTGCAGATGTTGAAGGGCAAAGATAGGATCCTGTGTTGGTGGCCTCTGGGTCCATGATGGCTGGGGCATCAGAAACAGCCCTGAGGAGAGAAGGTTGGAGGTTAAGGGAGACTGGGGGGTGGGGAACACTCTACCTGACATTTCCTGGGCTTGGAATCATTTCACTCTGTTATCTCTGAACTCTGCATAAAATCTTACAAAAAGAAACTTTCACCCCGCCAGTGAAAATAGAGACTTAACACTATAAATATCTGACATGGATTGGTCTAAGTATATTATAGTCAACCCATAAGGCTCCCCAAGCATCCTTCTTTTGGTTATAGAAATCAGCGACAAAACAGGCACAAGGAAGAAACCTGGGCAGGGTTGGGTGTCTCAGAAAGAAAAGGCAACAGAAAGGGGAAGCCAAAGAGCTTCCATAATTCTCCAGAATGTGAAGGTGTTTTAGAACACAAAGGTGCTTGTGAATACCAAGGGCTTTTCTGCTTCTGCCTCATTTTGTTCTTGCAGCTCTATGAAGTAGAAAAAGTGTCACCGCCAGTTAACAAAAGAAAAATAGAGGCTTGGAAAAGGATCTATGACTTCCCAGTCATTACAGAAACAGTCACCATGAGGGCTGAAAGAAGCTCCAATGCAGGCATCCACCTCTAAGTCTCATTTATTTGCTATTATTCTGCTTCTCCACCTTCTCTGATTTTATGATTATAGCACAGAGCCCATTTGCAAGAAACTATAACGCCTAACTCTAATAGAGCACTAAAAATTACATTACAGTGCCCGATTAACAACTTAATATCCAAGGGAGAAGATATGATTTTAAAGTAAATTTCTCATTCAATTTAGCAATAAACAGAAAGTCACATAATACTGACTGCATGGGGAAAAACTGTTAATCAATAGAAATGAGTTCTGTATGGCTTGGTTTAGTAACTTTTCAAAATTGTAATTTCATGTATAATGCCATTTTCAGTGGAAAAATGATTTGCTCTCTTCGTGTCGACCGCTGAAGAATAAAAAAAATCTTTGAACTTTGTTCAGAATCACTTCCTCTTTGGAATACAAATGAATGGCATTCATTATGAAGATATTGATACAATTAATGGCCACTGCTTATAGCAGAATTCTTAGAAAGTTCAGAACTAAAGAGAGTAAGATGTCGTTTGAGATTTCTTTTCTCCTCAGGCTGTTCACATAATTTGACTTCAATGTTGCCATCACTGAATGCTTCTCCTTTGCTCTCTTCCACTGGGTTCTCTCTCTTGGAAAACTTTGCTTTCTTCTGCATCAAGGCAATTTCTGGATTTTCACGCCTTCGTGCTGGAGAGAAGGTTTCTTTTACAATGCAATAACAAACTGCAGACAAAAAATTCTTCTTGAAGTTTTCATTCATAAATGCATAGACAATGGGATTGCAGATGGAGTTGGAAAATCCAATTATTTGCACTATAGCAAAAATCATCTTGATTGTGACATCATCATATTCCTTTTCAAGATTACCTGAAGTAAAGAAACACTTTAGAACTCATATTGGTTTTAATGAACATAGAATACAATTTCAGCATATCATCTGTTTTTACCAAAAACTTACCCTTGTACAAGGGGTTAAAAATGTGGAAAGTTTTCAAGAGCATTTTGAGAGAGGCACTTGATGTCTCAACAAAAATAACCTTTAGGATGAGTCTTCATAGTTAGACAATCTAGGCTTATAAGGATAGCCTGGTGCCTGGCACATATTAGGGTCATAATATTTTTTAAAAAGATTTATTTTATTTATCTGAAAGGCAGAGTTACACACAGAAAGAGAGAGAGAGAAAGAGAGAGAGAGAAATAGAAAAAGAGAGTTTGGTCTTCCATCTGCTGGTTCACTGCCAAATGGCTAGAACAGCTGTGCTGTGCTATGTCAGTCAGGAACCAGGAGCTTATCCCGCGTCTCCCATGTAGGTGCAGGAGCCCAAGCTCTTGGACCATCCTCATCTGCTTTCACAGGCGCATTATCAGGGAGCTGGATCGAAAGTGGAGCAGCTAGGACTAGAACCGGTGCCCATATAGGATGCCAGCGTTGCAGGCAGAGGCTTTATCCACTACACCTTAATGCCAACCCTAGGAGGCATAGCATTTGAACTGGATGACTCCAAGCTTCATGTAAACTGTAAGTCACAGTCACCTTTCAAATGTTCATTTGCATTACAGAAACACAATCACGTCGAGGGCCATGTTATTAGAGAGAATGCATTGCAGGTCAGACTGAAACCAAAGTGTATGATTAAATTCATATGATTCCAGTCAGAGTTTTAAATAGGGAACATATATAAGATGTTACACCTTCCCAGTATTTAAATAGCTGAGGGAGAACAGAAGGAGAAACCTGGGAGAAGAATCTCAAAGCTTTTCTTTACTTTGTAATTAGTAAAGGTTTAGTCATATTGTTCATAATTATTTACCCCGCAATGAACTGTTGATCTTGAAAAAAAGATGGGAACATTAGGTATCTGATATTTGATTATTCAAATGAATAACAACAAGTTCCACTAATTCATTGTCCATTCTAGCAGGAAATGAACTAGAATGTTTATCAAGTGAGAACGACAAGTACTCACTGTATTCATTCATCATGTGAACAACATGGAAAGGTGCCCAGCACACTGCAAAGAGAGCCACCACTGTCACCATCATAATGACAGCCCGCTTCTTCTTCCTAGACCCAGAAGCAGGTATTGTATTGGTTAAACTGATTATAGAGCTATCGAATAAATATAGAGCCTAGTCTACTTAACCATACTTTTTCACATATAAAAGTTTATGATAGGCGAATTGTGGACCATTCATCATGTTTTCCCATTGCTATTACCCTCATCCTTATATTTCTTACATCATGAATATTTCAAGGATAGGGTACACTGCAGGTCTGGCATGCCACTGAATGCTTGGCATGGATGATGTTATTCACCTTCCCAAGGAACCATTTGGTAGATGCAAAAGCTGCGATGCACACACAGTTGTAAAATCAGAAGGCTACTAAAAACATGTTCCTGGGATTTGAATTTAGGCAGTCTAACTTCAGTGACTAAGCTTTTATTAGCTTTATATTGGAGAACATGCATGTCTGTGATAGCAAAATAGCAACACTATGAGAAGCCTCATAGTAGAGTTAAAATGCAATCCACTTTCTACATCTAAATAATATGATTAACCAGAGACTTAATTTTATCAAACATTCTTATAAAGGAAATTTACATTTACAAGGGATCTATACATTTGCATGATGCTTTAAGTTTACAAAAGCTCCCACTCATTCTCTCTTATTTCAAAATGATGGCTTTTTCTTCTGAGGAGCTGGGAGCACTAACTCAATAGCCCTGAGGTCCCTGTACACTAAGAGGGAGGCTTTCTTTATACCAACTGAGCACTAGAGGTCACTGCACACTTGAAGAAATCATAAAATCCCATCAAATCACTAGACTTCATCTAGGGTTTTGTTTATAATAGGCACTCGTCATAGATAATAAAATAAACTATATGGACCACATGAACCATAGCAGCACACTATGTTTTAAAACTGCAATTCATGAAGAAGATCGGAAACAAAATAAAAATAAAATATATCAATAATAAGAATTTGAAATGAATGGCATGCTGTGACTCTCAGAGGATTAGCCAGCATACAATCTCACGTACTTTGGCATCATCCTTGGTTGGGATGAAGTAAGAACGGATGTTATGGTCCCTGGGATATATAAGGAAAGCAGAGATCTTGGTAACAAGACTGATCTATATCTGATGGCGATGAATGGCAGAGAGGAGACCGACACAGGACCGCAGAGTCCTGACAACAGCCCACAGAGCTTCCTTCCATGTTCTATTTATATACAGAAGAAAATGCAACCCTGTTCTACATTCCAAGTAAGTTCCTCTCTCTAGCTATCACATCCCCTTTGATTTAGAAGCTGATGATCTTATCCCTTTTTCCTGCCACACAAAACCCTCAAGGGTTTCAAGTCAGTCCATGCTGTCAGCATGAATTACAAATGATGCTCTGAATAAATTATTTAGGAGTTCTGAGATCCCTTGCAACCATCCCTTCCACAAAAACTCATTAAAACTATTTTGAACACAGGTGAATCTTCCATTAGACATACCTGGCTATCTTGGACATTTCTTTCCCATGGATAGTTCGAAGCACTGAGCCATCCCCCACTCTTTTCTTTATCCAAAGTTCATAACCGATTTTACTGTACAGAATGAGCATCACCATAAGGGGCAGGAGGAAGAGAATAACAAGGATGAAGGTGGTATAGATTTTCTGGTGCACAGGGCTGGTCCACTCTTCCAAGCAGCAGATGTGTTCTTTTTCATATAGGAAGTCATACTTAATCTTTGTAAAAAGAATAATCCAATTAAGAACCAGTAGTTAGCATCAAAACACAGAAAACAGTCAAGTGTTATTGTAATGCAGCATTTTTAAGTCATTTCAAATTTGCCATGGGTATGTGCAGCTTTAACTTGTTAACCAGAGAGTATATTTCTAGAACCCCCACAGACACCAAAACCTATAGATGCTCAAGTCCCTTAGCAAAATGGTATAATATTTGCATATAACCTATAAATATTCTCCCACATACTTCAAAACATCTGTAGAGGGGCTGGCACTGTGGTGCAGCAGATAAAGCTGCTGCCTGCAATGCCAGCATCCCATATGGACGCCAGTTTGAATCCCTGCTGCACCACTTCTGATACAGCTCCCAACTAATACGCCTGGGAAAACTGCAGAAGATGGCTCAAGATCTTGGGCCCCTGCAGCCTCATGGGAGACCCAGATGAAGTTCCTGCTCTTGGCTTCAGATTGGCCCAGCTCCAGGAATTGTGGTCATTTGGGGAGTGAACCAATGGATGGAAGATCTCTCTCTCTCTCTCTCTCGCTCTCGCTCTCTCTCTCATTGCCTTTCAAATAAATAAATAAATAAATCTTTATTTTAAAAAAATCAGTAGATTAGTGATAAATTTATCAAAACTACTGTCCTTTTTATCACTCTGGAACTTTCCAGATGAATACTTAGATTTTAGAGATATTACTGCCTATAACCCCAATTTTATTACTAATATCCAATATTCAGTTTTATCACCAATATTCAATTTAAATTGAATGAGGGGGAGAAACTTTCTGGTCACTCATCAAAGGTAAGAAAATTCTAGGTATTATTTACAATACAACTATTTACAACAATACAATCAAGAAAACATATTGTAAAATAATTTCAAGCTCCAATTTCCCTAGGAATAGGATGTTAAGATTAAACTCTTCCTGACTCCACGTAGGCAGAGTCTACAACAGGCCCATGACGATAGAGGTCAAGTACTGACACATCCCAAAGCCTAATGCCAGACTGGTAGTCTCCACACACAGGATTACATAGACCTTGGGACAAGCCCAGACTTTCCAAGTACACTCAGATGGTTTCATGGAAACCAAATTCAGATCCTCTATTTCCAAGTACATGCTTCTTTAAAGTTCTCCTGCCTAAGTCAGTGCTGCAGGTTGAGGCATCAGGCTGAGGTTCCATTCTTACTTCCTCTTTCATAATCATCCTCCTAACTTAGACATTGGACTGCACATTTTAATAACAAAATTAGTGCTATTCTTGTGACTGAAAGTGACCCAAGGAATTGTTGTCTGAATGACTGGAGAAGCTATAGGGTGTGCTCTAGGTTTCATCATAATATTTTATCTTGAGGATAAGAAAGTCCTCAGAGGACATTTTTATAGGTAGCAAGGGATGTTAGAAAGTTGCTTTTTGCTTTCACCTACAAGCTTACAGCTCATTCAGTATACCACTTAAATTTTTAAAAACTGAAGCTACTTTTAAAATGCACTCTTACTTGACAGCTCACTTTTTGATGGGCATAGCATGCCCAGGAGGGTTTCACAGTTGCCTATTTCTATTTCAAAAGTTACAAAGGAACATGTCATTAGATAAATTATCTCAGCAGGTATCAGAGCAACCCCATAATGTCTTTGAAGACTACTAACTGTGCAAGACCACCCAAGCAAGACAGCTTAAGGTAATCACCAATGGACAGGCTGAGCCACTTAAAGCCCACAGTCCTGCCTTAATTGTGAATCTTCATGCGTGGTTGGGCCCATGTAATGAAGGTTTGAAAAAGGGAAGAGGTCAAATAAGATGATCTTCTGAAACATTTCCAATCTGAATTTAAGTTGTCAGGGAATAGGAAAGAAATAGGGGGAAAAGGGAATTATGAAGGAGAAACAACTAACAAGTAGACAATTTATTATGAATTTCTATGCCACTTAAAATAACAAAAGAATCCAGAGCAATAATTGAACTCTTAAAATATAGCAAAACATTAAAGGTAATTAAGAAAAGGCTTCTCACTTGCAGGTAAATGTAGGAACTGACCTTGGTACTTTTAGTAAGTTTTATTTTAAGCATTAAGGTCTTAATACCAAGGAGGTCTAGATTAAAGTGGAGGGGAAAAATTTCCAAAACAAATTATATTATTCTATCTGAAAGACCACCAGTGAAACAACTGAGGTTATACAATTTTTTTTTCTTTTTGACAGGCAGAGTGGACAGTGAGGGAGAGAGAGATAGAGAAAAAGGTCTTCCTTTGCCGTTGGTTCACCCTCCAATGGCCGCTGCGGCCGGCGCGCTGTGGCCGGCGCACCGTGCTGATCCGATGGCAGGAGCCAGGTACTTCTCCTGGTCTCCCATGGGGTGCAGGGCCCACGCACTTGGGCCATCCTCCACTGCACTCCCTGGCCACAGCAGAGAGCTGGCCTGGAAGAGGGGCAACCGGGACAGAATCTGGCGCCCCAACTGGGACTAGAACCCGGTGTGCCGGCGCCGCTAGGTGGAGGATTAGCCTAGTGAGCCGCGGTGGCGGCCAACAATTTTTTGTAATGCTCTTGCTGGAAGGAAAATTATTATAATTAAGGAGTATAATGATTATAATTAAGAAGTATAGGAGACTATTTCAATAATATGATTATCAATCCCAGTCCTCAGTCTACCTCAAGTTGTTGCACATGCCACATGGGTGATCCTACGATGACTGCCACCAACCAGACCACACCTGCAAAAAATGAAAATTTTCATCATATAACTGAAAATTATCAGTATATATAATATACAGATACTTATTTCTGTAACTGTGAGCACTCCCTGTATTCAGTGCACTCTGTAACCTCTGCCCAACAGTAACACAATGTTTTCCTCATGGGCTCTTGCTTCCATTCTCTCACTATCTTAAAAACTGCTGCTGGAATAGTCTTTCTAAAAAAACATTTGTAAAACACATAGAGGTACATTTGCTGATTCCATTTCCCTTGGGTAAATTCCCAAGAGTTGGATGGCTGGGTCATATGGTAGGCTTATATTCATGTTTTTGAGGTATCTCCATACTGTATTCTACCGTGGCTTTACCAGTTTACATTCCCACCAACAGTGGGTAAGGATACCTCTTTCCCCACATCCTCTCCAGCAATTGTTTTTTGTCTATTTCTGTATGAAAGCCATTCTAACGGGAGTGAGGTGAAACCTCACTGGGGTTTTGATTTGCATATCTCCGAAGGCTAGTGATCCTGAGCATTTTTTCATGTGTCTATTGGCCATTTGGATTTCCTCTTACAAAAAATGTCTAAGTCCTTTGCCTATTTCTTACTGGGTTGTTTTGTTGTTGTTGAGTTTCTTGATCTCTTTATAAATTCTGGTTGTGCACTTACTCCTCATGTAGGATCTTTGTCCTTAGTGTGCTGTACATTGAGATCTAATGCTATAACTAGTACTCAAACAGTATTTTTCACTTTATGTT